TTTTTTTTTTTTTTTTTTTTTTTTGGTTTTGAATTTATGGCTAATCGAGTTTGGAAGATGGATTAACGCGTGTGTAACTGTAGTTTTAAGAACAGAGCAGGGGACAGAGTTGAGCGTGGAAGGTTTCTCTAGTAGGAAACGTCGAAAGTCAAATGTGGATTTGTAATACGAGATCTGTAATCATATTTGTGTACAGTTGGTGTTACCGAAGGGGAGCGTGTAATGTATTCGGTTATAAAATATTATTTAAAATATTCCTCGATCGATAAGAAGGTTATTTACAATTCATTTTTTTTAAATAGAAGTGTTTACGTTTTCTTTTTTTTTTTTTTTATTTTGAACATTACAACGTATGATTGTCGTTAAATTACATGTTTCCGTAAAAAGGAATCCTCGAGTTACAATCGGTCCTCGACAACAACAACAAATTATTCGCAAAAACAAGAACAATGTTACAACATTACATGACTCGAGACCAAGGCATCATGAAGCGAAAGGAACTTTCTTGGTTCGTTTAGAAATAAAATAAAATAAAATAAATTTAAAAAAAAAAGAGGGAGGGGAAGAGAGAAAGAGGGGGGAGAAGGGAGGGGAGGAGAAAGAAGAAAGAACCCTAGTTACATAGGAATAATTTACGATATCGTAGTCCGCTCTGTTTTCTCCTTGCACGTAGGCCGGAATTTTCAGGCTAAAGCAACACTCGTGTACCGTGGGCAACGTTTGTAACGGGTTTTACACACGCATCGGCGGTGGTTGCAAAATAATTGTTAAACAACAGGTGGGATTGTTGAGACATTATTGCATACTTAACAGGGTAGCATGTTAACAATAGGTTTTTTGCAAAAGTGTGCAGAGTGCGCGCTCCTTGCTTCCTGTTCGCCTGGTAACATTAATTTATTGGCTCGGTTTAAAAGCATAGCGCACGCCCTCGCCGCGTTACAAAACCGCGATACAAAAATCTTATTGCAATGAGCGCACAATTGCGGCAAAAGTATCGAGTTCAGAGATACGCAACCGATGCTCTTCTCTTCCCCCTTTTCTTTTCCATCTTGAGGATCGTGAAAGGTATTCCGGGATCACGAGCTGAAAACCGATGAGTATAAACAAACGATTGCAAATTACATCGCGATTCGAATCACGATCCTTTTGTCCCAAGAAATTCTTCGTTGAATTATTGCAATATCGTTCGATTAATTTCAAACAAAGTTGAACGAAATGATCTCTTAATTCTCCAAAAATTTAATTTTTAATAATTACGATTTTTTTTATAAAAAATTAAATAGAATTATATTATACTAATGTGTAACGATGCGAAAGATTGTTACCATATTTTCATTACAGAAAATATTCTTCAGAATCACGAAAATCACGAAGAAAGGCACGATCATTTCATGTACAAATATAGATATTACGAATAAGTACTTATATTTAAAATTCGATACAACATCGATCTATCGATGTTCAAATTATTTCTATAATCACAATTTAATTCTATAATTTCCGTGCTCGAATTCGTTAACCCACACGTGCGCCCACGTTACCCATTCACGCGTTAATCCGCGCAGCTCGATAAAAATAAAAGCACGATTTTTCGTCAGTGTTGCACGGAATTCGACACGAAATTTCGTTTCGCCCGTAATCGATGGGACAAACTCCTCCCTCGCACGTGGTGAATGCGCGGCGCACGCCGCGTAACTCTCGCCACGCACACCCGCCGCCCAATGCATCTTAGCTCGCGTTACTGCGCGTGTGTCGCGACGCGGTCACGTGGGCCGCGAGACACGCGATACCGAGGCGCTGCACTCCTTCGAGGCGATGCTCGCCTGGTAGACGAGCGATCAAGACGTTTGCGCAAATCGCTCGCCGCGCGTACGCACGAGGTACGCGCTCGCGTTCCCTCGTCGCGCATACGTACGTACTCTCTTCTCTGCTGTGCCGCGCATACGTGCCGTGACGAACGAAGAATCGTTTCGTTCCTTCCGAAACGAATCTCGATAGATTCGTGTACGGAAAAGGGAAAAGAAAAAAGTAAACTGGTTGAAATTTCGAATGAACAAAGTTTTTCTTTCTTCTGAGTAATAATTTTGTTTAAAATTGCTCGAATAACGTTTATTCTGTGACTGTTATTAATTGATCCGCTGCTCTTCGTACTTGATCGTGGCCGTTTGACGCTACAGTTATATGGTTAGGTATATATAGTTATTTATTCGATGCTTAGAATAAGAAATTGTTGAAGTAACTTTATTCTTAATTTCAAACGTTCAAATTTTGCCCATCTTTGAGAGTGGATAAAGTATTATTTGAAACAGTAAGTAAACTTGTTTATCGTGAAGTATAGATATAAATTTTGAAAATAAATTTATTATTCGATATTCGACGATGAATAAAATTAATATTTTATTAGCATTTAAAGAATATGTTGAAAATAGTTGGATTTTCGTCTTGAATATTATTTTAATTTATTTTACTTTTTTTCATTACTTGTATAAAGAAATTGTATGTGTAGTAGAAGGTTTATTATTCATACTAATAGAAAGACAACAAATTAAGGATAATGAAACAAATGAAAATTTTTTCTTAAAATTATATTATATTTTGAGGAAAATATTATAATTATGGTTCATTTATGGTAAAATTGAAATAATGAATGAACATTACAAATTTTTTAATACATAAAACTGAATATAACTGCATTTTGTTTTCTTCAAATCATTCGATTCCTTTCTGCTTCGAATGCTTCAAAGTAAGTAAATAGATGACATCTTCAATACATTTTTTCAATGCATTCCTCTATTGTTTTTACCAGTATTGAAATATAAAATATTGTTAATAATATTCTTTTCATTATAATTTTTATCATCAATGAATATGACATCAATATTATCGTATTCTCCACATCCTGGCATTCTATCGCAATAGATTTTTCTACGTTTTAAAAAATGTTTTGTTCATTTCTTCAATTTCATGGAAGAAAAATATCCTGTATATGCGCTTATATTTTTGCTAATCTACAATTATAGAATATAAAATACTCGAATGTTAGAATATTTGAATAACGAATATCAGTGGATTCATTCAACTAAATTTTTTAACAATTTTTGAAAAATTTTCAATTTTTCTTTTTACGAAATTACTACAATTCAAAATATAATTTTCCATCGAATATCGATCCTCTTTACCATACATCCAATATTGATTAAATTATAAATAATGACTAAAAACAAGAAATATTTTCATCTTTTCAGAAGAGAGGCGCAAAGAAGAAATAGCATTTTTTTCTCAACCACGAAACTCGGATATCAATTTTTCGATGTATATGCCGTGTCTCTTAATTGTGTAATCTTAAAAATACCCCTCGAGCTCGTTAATTTTCCATCTTAAGATGTGTACGTGCCGTTTAAATGGTAATTATGCGCACGAATTAGCGATACAAGGGGACATGGTCACGTGCTGACGAGAAGAAAAGTAAAACCTGTATTAGAAAACGTGGCCATCTTTCTTTCCGCCATTACCGTTCTCTCCGCAATTACAATGCCAAAAATATTTTTATCTGTAAATATTACATATATATATATCGAGCTTTCGAAGGGAATTCAAAATAACATAGATAGAATAATTATTCAAATTGTTTAATCACGTGCTCGTTTAATTGTGGGTCAATGTGGATAACGTATGCGTGGAGAAGTGTGAAGGTATCGTTACCGGCTTACTATTAGAAGAAATTATAATCCCATGTAATTTTAATCCAACGATAATTTTCAATGGAACTGATAGGTTGTGTAAATACTTTTTATGGAAACGTTGACACACATTCCTTTAATAAAATTCCTTTCGTTCGATCGCGATAGATTGAGCAACGAGCATGCTCGTTCCTACTCCTCTCCGCGAACTATTTGATAAAAAATATCTTTTTTAAAAATTTAAAATTTTACATTTTTTTTTTTTTCTTCCTCTTTTCTTGCCATTTTCGAACGAAATTTCGTTCAATCCATTTCCACTTTCTTCGTTTCCACGCAATTTTACGTTGCACGGTATATATATATATATATAGATTCGCAAGAATCTCGTACGTAACGGATTGCGCGGTCGATTGAGTATAACTCGAATGCTTAAAATCGGGGACGGAATGATAAATTGTGAAGCGGTTGCAGCGGCTTCCATCGAGGGGCGGCCATCATTTTCCACGTTTCACAATTTTTTTTTATTCTTTTTATTTTCGTGGATATCCATCCGCAACTTTCGACGAATTCATTTGAACGTGCGGTTGTTATTTATCGATATCCTGGAAATTCTTCGCCGAGAGAAATTTTCGTTCGCCGCAAAATTTCGCGGCAATTTCGAAACGCGGAAGATTCGAGCAAATGTTGGAAAATTAGGGAACGTTGAACTTTCGTTTTTTTTTTTTTTTTTCGGATGAGTCACGTGAACGCGTATTTCTCATTTCACGGGAAATTTAAGGTCATCGAAATCGCCAGTCATCCAGAAAGCCTCGAGCCTCGACGAGCTTCGATAATATAAAAATCCCCTGTTCTCTTCGCGTGAACTTTAACGGAGCCAATGAGCCAGCTTGATTTTAACGCGTCGAGATAATTACATCACATGTAATCGCATTTTTTCCACTTCATATTAATTAGAGGTATGATAAAGTGTAGAAAAAAAAGATAGGGATATAATTATACGTAAGGTTTAAAATTTGTACTCTAATAGTATCGTGGATAAAATATTGTGTTTATATCGAGAGATATAATTCAAGTTTTTCAACTTGAAAAAAATTAAAATTGAAAATGTTTAGAATGAAATTCTTTTGAAAGAGATTATTTTAGTTGAACTTACTTGGTGTTTGTTATATCTTGTAATTGCCTTTTCTAATTGTGAATATAGTATAATCTCTTTTTATATTGTATAAGCCACAATACATTTAATGAATGGAATAGGAATATTTTTTTTTTATTATAAGTAACAATGGTTTCTAATTTCCTCGCTTAAAAATTCGACACAAAACCTAACGTTCTCTATAGACAATAAATATTATGTAATCTTTTTCTACCCATAAAGAATTCCATCATCATCTGGTTTCGTCATTTTCAAGATTCTTTTCAAATAATACTATTAAGAAAATTGTTGGAATTACTTCATACTCGTCTCGTCTTAAAATCATGTAAAATAATTTTTAATAGATTATTCATGAGAAGAATAAACAAATTGTTGTATAAGCCCGTTAATTTAAATAACCTTCCAGGTTACGTTCACTTACATTGAATCCCGATAAAAAAATTATTAAGAGGACAGGTAATTGACGATAAAAAATAATTGACGATCGAAAACTTGTCGAACAGTTGCGAATAAGTGATATGTTTGATTTTATGATTGCACGCTTATAAAACGTGTATATTATTGTAGCCTGGAAATCTGAAGATCATCGACAGAAACGATAATTATAGTTAAATCTACCATGTATTATTCTGCCATTTTAAACCTACCATATAATTATCTTTGTAATAGTTATGCCTACTCGATTATTCAAAAACGCACTTTACAGTTACCAAACAGTTCAACACTTATCGTTATCCTGACTTTTATTTGCGATAGAAAATTCAAACGATTGTAATTATTTTTTTATTAATTCAACTTGCATAATCGCAGTCTGTATACTATTGATCAAGATATCTGATCAATAGATATACCAGAAATTTTTCAATCAGCAAAATCAGGATCAGAACGAAAGTTTTGACCTTTATAGAAATACCAACTACTGTTTACACTGGAACGAAGTTTCGCGGGACGGCACAGGGGCAAGAGGAGTCCTTCGCCAGAACCATTTATCCCCACTTCAGACGCCTTTGTTGACAATTCTGACACCAGACGCTTCGTATATAGTAGAAGAAAGAAGTTATAATTTGTATATATTGAAAATCGTAAAAATTATTTTCATTTATGAAGTTAGAATAATCATCTAAGATTGAAATATTTAACGAAACTATTAATTATTTTGATAATATGCTTATTCGTATACATTCAATTATTATTTTAACTATTCGAATACGAAATTACATTTATAAATTAAACTATCGTTACAAATCGTAATTAATTTTCGCATATTATGAGAAATAAAAAAATTGTTATGTTATTATCGATTAGAATTTTCTGGATTCTATGTCCTATCCTAATACATTCAGGTTTAGATAGGTTTAGACCGTCGTTTGAATTGGTATATGTGACATATATCAATACACGATAGAAAGAAAAATGCGTGTGAAAATAGACGTTTCCTTTCGAATTAACCGATCAGACCTGCGAGATTTCTTTTCACCAGTGAACAATACATTTACACACACATCGATATCAACCAATATCAAAAATCAAATCGATAAAACGATTTCCCTCGATCGACGATACATATTTCACCGACATCACGCTCCTTCCCAAAGAGGTTAATTCCAAAAGCACTAAATATATCTCTATCTCCATTCTCCATTCTTCATAGTAACATTCTTCACTGGAAAATAATCGTCAAACAAGTGGAATAAATTGTAAATTCTCTCTCTTCGACCAAATCCAAATCCTCTCATCTATCCTTCTGCCGAGAGAGTAGAGGCACAGTCAGTTACGTTAACCGTTATGACCACCATTGATTCCGATGTCACTGGCATTTGGTATAGCAGCGGCGCACGGTGCGCGCACGAGCGACGTGGTGGACGACTCAAAGAGGAAGGGTGCATCCAAAGGACCGTCAGCTGCACGTTGAAGTCTGGCGCAGACGTAATGCCACGCGTGTATCCGGAGAACAGAATGCACGTGGCGCAGTGTCGCGACTTTTGTGCCATTACACGCTCTGCGTGAAAACGGAAGAAACACGCGTACTCCCCTCCCCTTCCCCTCTCTGCTTGCTCGCTCGGTCGAAAACCGCGGGAAAACGGATATGGAACGCGTCTCGAATCGTGAATGAATATATAAAATTTAAAAAAAGAGACTCGAAAAATGGAAGTTGGTCTCGGGATTGTGTATCGATTTTAATACGAACGAGAGTGTAAGCGAAATGTTTCTTTGGCTTCTTTCTATGGTAATTAAAATTTCTACGTTTAGTGAAATATAATGAACCGGTACCAGCTAATTATATCTAAATATCAAGCGGTGTGAAGTAATTTTAAATTCTTCTTTGTGTCTAAAAACGCAAATATATTTCCGCATTATATATCTTCTCGGTATGTGATTATATAATAATTACCAGTTTAATATAATTTTTTTTTTTACGGCATCATTAAAAAAAAGAATAGCTTATACTTAGATGTGAAAAATAAAATTACGATTATTATTTTAAAATTTTACGATGTTAC